GCTCTCGGTTTAACATTTTCTACGACTTTTGTTTAGATCACTAAGGCTAAAAGTCGCTCCATCGTAAATTCATTATTTACGTTTCCCGGTGTCGTGCCGATTTTGCCGTAAAACTTCGACGGGCCATAACTTCTTCGTTATAACTCGGATTTCGGAGTTCTTTATATGTACGGAAACCTTGAGAAATATTCTACAACTTGGTTAAGATTATTTATTATAAATAATCTTTTGCCGAAAATTCGTTTTCGACACTCATTGCCTCTAAATTGACTAGCCCGGATCTACGGGCGTTACAGATATACCTGCATAAGAGATTACAAGCAAACGAAGGCAGTCCCAATATATTGACTAAGTCCAAGATCTTGGGTTACTCATGATCTTAGCATGAGTTCAAGATACTAAAAATGGTAAGATAAAATTTTTATCCATAACAATTACATATGGAACAATAGTCTTGGAATAACCATGCCCTTCATCCATATCCATTACCTACGACTGGTCAACTACATACTTGACAAGTTGGTTTAAATCAAGCTTTGTACTACAAGATACCGTTTCTCTTCTACAAGGCTTCTTTCTATTCAGTTCTGGTGACACACTGTCAGGTTCCAACTCCTCATTAACAACTTTTGAAGGAGACTTAAAATAAGTAGGTACCCTAGTTTGTCCATTTTCAGTATACACCCTTATAAGTATGTGTTTAGGGTCATATAAAACCATTTTAAGTACATCTTGGTCATGCCCTTAAGGTAATAAGCCATAGTCTAAGGGGTACTCAGGGATACAAAAATGGTAGTAAAGGGACTGCTCGGTTTGGTACCCTAATTCTCGAACCATGTCATAAAGTTCATGGATTGAAAATAAATCAATGTCTACGTCATCTATATATAATACAATATCGTCAATGTATTTTCTTTCAAGTGACTTGGTGAAGATACCACTATAGTGTATCTTCAATGTGAAATAGTTGTCATATCCTTCTGCAAATATAAAAATAGATAGGGTAAACACAATGATTTCTCTTCATGAACACGTACTACAAATTTTTTTTTTTTTTTTTGTAGAATCATACCGTATCTGGCTTGCAAGTCCTTCAAGCTCGAATATTTTTCATGCAAAGTCCATATTGAGAGAACCATTGTCGATTCCTTCTGAATAAACCCTAAAACCCAAATTTGCTTCCTATAAGCGAACAGTTGGATGAAGACGAAGCTTTGTGTTTTCTTGGGAGAGGGACGCGTCTTGGAGTTGACATGAAGATGATCGAATGCATGATCATTTCCTTTATCTAATCAGAGGTTACAAGCGAAATGACGGAAATACCCTCTAATTATTTTAATCAGATAGCAGTTAACGGTCAAAACTTGACAGGGTGAGTAAAAACAACTCTTTGTTAAAAGTTTTGAAATCACTGGAAGGGACCATCTATGAGGTTTTTTAAACTTAAAGACTATATCCCAAATTTTTAAAAACCATAGGGACCATTTATGAGTTTTGTCTATTACTTATTAGAGTAAAAGTTTAACAATACCCAAATCGTGTAGGGACTTATTTGCAAATTTTCAAATAATGCGAAGGTCATACGAGTAGGTATAAAAGGGCAATTGAGTCACAACACAAAGTAAGTGGTTAGTATTCATTTCACGTCATTATATACATTCCCGAAACGGCACCGTTCGCTCAAGCCAAACACGCCACTATTTTCGTTGCTAAAACGTTTTTCTATACCCATTCCACGTCACTAACAGATTAGCTGCTCGCCAGTCATTCGGCGACGATAACACCCTCAATCGGCAGCCATTTTTTTTGGCGGCGAAAACGGCGAGATTCGAATCTACGAGCTTCAGTATCCGTTAATTTCTGTTTAATTTAATGAACAATGACTTTGATTCTTAATAATCATCATCATCGTCATCCTAGCTTCATTTACTCAAATATTCATACGAAAAAGTTCAATTTCACCACCAAATTAGGGGTAAAATACTCTTGCCGGAGAGCGAACAGAAGACTTGTTTTTACGCCGGTGAATTCGGCGTCGGTTAATGGATATTCACTGCGGAATCATGATAATAGTCCAGAGGTTTCAGATGGAGTGGGAACGAATTACGGAGAGGATAATGCCGTTGGGGTGTCGGAAAGGTTGTTGAGATTTGTTCATCTGGTTTCGTCGGTGCTTCCTGGTGGAAATTGGTGGAGGTTTTCTGATGAAGTGGAAGTCTCGGTAACTGCGAAGCCGGTGACTTTGGTGCGTGCTCTTCGACGGATGTGGGGATTGATTGCGAATGATCGTTGGGTTATCTTTGCTGCCTTCTCTGCCCTAATACTAACCGCGGTAATGCTCTCTTTTTTATTTTGCATTGAAGGCATTAATTATCCTGGTAACAATCTCACTGAAATGAGGCCAGAATTGGACTTAAATCAGGTAGAATTAGGTCGAGTCATTCCTATTTATTGCCATAGAAATTCGAGTTGAATCAGTTTACCTTTTAACTTGCCGAAATTCAAACTATTCTTCCATTAACAATCCCTCAGTTGCAAATTTGGTTTTGAGTTCGAACCTTGCAAAGAACTGTATAATGATCTAGCATAATTGTCCTGTAGCAAACAGTCATATTCTTGATAAAATAACTGTATAATGATCTACAACATGAGCGCTATTGATTTCTTATTATCTATTTGTCTTCTTCACAATGTTTATTGGGTACTCTGCTGATTGATTTACTATTCAATTGTGTTGTTAATTTAATCCTTTTTTCTGCGCCACTAACTTAGATTTTGTTTTTTTTTCATTCAGCTTACAGAGATCTCCATTCCTCATTTCCTTACAGCATCTATATTTTCAGCCCAAAGTGGTGAGACAGCTGTGTTTCAGGGTAATGTGAAGCTACTGATGTTTCTATGCATCACTTCCGGTATTTGCAGGTTAAAACCTTGTATGGTCAAATCTTCCTCTTCTTTGAAACAAACTAGTGGCTTGTTCTTGTTTGCTTCCATGACTATTGCATATAAGATTAACTGTTTAATGTCCTTTAATAGCAGTTATAGATTTTAATAAGAAGTTTCTGACATGTGATCTTTTATTTAAATTCCCAGTGGATTAAGAGGTTGCTGGTTTGGCATTGCAAATATGATCCTTGTGAGTTCATTTACTACATGTATCTTGATATAAACTTATCTATTTCAACCAAAACCATTTCAACGTTAGACTTTAAACTAATTTTACTAAAAGGGTTTGACTTTTAGTTCAAAGAAGTTTTATCAGAAATGTTGTTCACTGTAGATGTTGATCTTGGTTTTATTTATTGAAGGTAAAACGAATGAGGGAAACATTATACTCCATCCTTCTTCTCCAGGTTTATAAACAATGGTTCTATGAAGCTTTCTGGACTAAAACATCATTATGATATATCAACATCATCTGTAACCTCACTTTTTTCACAGGATATAAACTTTTTTGACTCTGAAAGTATTGGAGATTTGACTAGTAGACTAGGATCAGATTGTCAGCAGGTTTCACGGGTTATTGGGAATGATCTTAACCTAATATTACGCAATCTTCTTCAGGTATTTGTATTTCAAAACAAATAAAAAGTATCCATGACCTCACCTTAAATTACATAACTTAGTTTATATATTTTATTTCAGGCCACAGGGGCTTTGATCTACTTGTTAGTGTTGTCTTGGCCACTTGGCTTATGCACATTGGCCATTTGCTCTACTTTGTCACTAGTTATGTTAAAATATGGACAGTAAGTTCTCCTAGTTGTCTTCTAGTAAATGTAAATATTGATGCTTTTAACAAATACAAAAGTTTAAATTGAAACACACATCATAAATAACTCTTTTAGTTGTAAAAAATGGTGACTGATTTTTCCATAGGTACCAGAAGAAAGCAGCAAAGTTAACACAAGAGTTCACTGCATCTGCAAATGAAGTACTACTACAAAAAAGTTTAATTATGTTCCCAAAGAGTGCAACTCATATATATATATATATATATATATATATATATATATATATATATATATATCTTTTTTTTTTCTTAACAATCTAAAAGGTGGATTTTTTTTTTTCTTATATAGGTTGCACAAGAGACATTTTCTTTGATGAGAACAGTTCGAGTTTATGGAACTGAGCATAAAGAACTTGAAAGGTATACTTCTTTAAAAAGTATTCAATTGGTTTCATTTATGACATACACTAAAGTTGAATTTAATATTTATTTATTTATTCACAAATAGGTACACCACCTGGCTGGAAAAACTAGCTGATATAAGCTTGAGAACAAGTGGTGCATATGGCATATGGAATTTCAGTTTCAACACTCTGTATCATTCTACACAGGTCATGCTCCTTGTATTCTTAATAATATCATAAAAATGTAAAATTATATTAAAAAAAGGTTTGTAATTTTTTTATAGGTTCTTGCTGTATTGGTAGGAGGAATGTCTATTATGGCTGGTAAAATAACAGCCGAACAGCTTACAAAGTTCATATTATACAGTGAATGGCTGATTTACTCAACATGGTTTGTGGGTGACAATTTATCAAACTTAATGCAATCTGTTGGAGCAAGTGAAAAAGTATTCCAAATGATGGATCTTGCGCCTAGTCAGCAGTTCACATCCAAAGGCAAGCATTAAGCAACCAATTTTTTCATTTCCTGATTTTTTTTTGTAATAAAGAAACACAAAATAGTACCCAATTTACTAAATGTTAAAAACTAGTATCTTTATTGCATATTGACTTGTAGCAGGATCAAAATTGCCAAATTTGAAGGGTCTTATTGAGTTTGTGAATGTATCATTTAGCTATACATCAAGGGAAACGGTATGTTTCTAATTTTTCTCATATCCCTAAACAAGTAGTAGAGTCTGTTTGATTGGATGGATCATGGAATGGAATGAGTGATTCCATTCCTTTGATTCTTTCTTAATATTTTGAACAGGTACATGTGTTAAAAGATATAAGCATTACTGTGAATCCTTATGAAGTAGTTGCACTTGTAAGTAAGTCTATAATTCTATCCGCCTAATTTTGTTTCTTCAACAACTACAAAAGACGTAAATGCCCTCCTTCTTCATTAGGTTGGTCTTAGTGGTAGTGGGAAGAGCACAATAGTAAATCTCCTTCTTCGTCTCTATGAACCAACAAGTGGTCAGGTACACATAACTTTGTTTGACATGCATTCATCTTTTCTTTGAACAAAAGACGTAAATGCCCTCGTTGTTGTGGTGTAATGTAGATTTTGATCGATGGGCATCCGTTAAACAACATGGACATCAAGTGGCTTAGAGAAAGAATCGGATATGTTGGACAGGTTGGTTCTCTTTATTTAAAAAAAAAAAAAGCGGATCCTTTTTATTATTAATTATTATATATTTGGAGCAAACAGGAACCTCGGCTTTTTCGGATGGATGTGAGATCAAATATAGCATATGGATGCACACGAGATGTAAGTGAAGAAGATATTGAAGATGCAGCGAAACAAGCGTATGCTCATGACTTCATATCCTCACTACCTGAAGGCTATAACACAATTGTTGATGATGATTTGTTAAGTGGAGGCCAAAAGCAAAGAATTGCTATTGCAAGAGCTGTTCTAAGGGACCCATCAATTTTGATTCTTGATGAAGCTACTAGCGCTTTAGATGCCGAGAGTGAATACAACGTCAAGGTATATATTATTTATGTAAAAAAAATAAAAATTACTCCAATCAATTTTAGGGTTTAATATATGATGATGTAGGGTGTACTGAGTGCGGATGGAGATAAGTGTAAGAGGAGTGTTATAATAATTGCACACAGGCTTTCCACTATACAAGCTGCAGACAGAATAATTGTCATGGACAGTGGCCGGATCATTGAGGTATCTATCTATCCGCCTATATTTTTGTTTTTATAAAAAATAAGTTAAAACCATATTGGCTTTGTGAATTCAGATGGGAAATCATAAACAACTTCTCCTTAAAGACGGATTGTATGCGCGATTAACTAGAAGACAAGTTGATTCTGTATGATGAGAATATTAATTCCAATTAGAATTGTATACAATACAACAACAGAGGTGTGTGTAATCATGGATGTTAGTCATGGTTGAATCCTAGCTTTGGAGATTCATCATATAAAATGTTGTAATTGTTAGGAATACAAGCTATTCTTCTACTTTATATCGAGTATTGTACTCATAAATATCAAGTTACTTTTTTTTTTTTTTTGACCGAGTCTCCCAGTCCACGACATGTTACTTTTGCTTTTGGGTTGATATTAGGGAAAATCACTTATTATACTAATTCACATCTAGGTAACTATTTATTTTTTACCTAGATTTTTTTTACACATCTAAGTAACAAACTTGTTAGAAGTGTTCACATATGACCATTATGACTTGCTATAGTATGTTAAATCCTAGATGTTGATACTTTCAACAAGTTCGTTACCTAGACGTGTACAAAAAAAAATAGTTACCCAAATATGAACAAAACGAAAAGTAAAAATAAATTACACAAATGGTCCTTATGGTTTTGGAGAATTTGTGTTTTTGGTCCCTAACTTATTTTTTTAACTCGGATGGTCTCTACTGTTTATTTTTGTTACACGTTTGATCTCTGTCTTACCTAAAAAGACTATTTTGTCCTTATTAATTTATTTTTAATTAATTTCCTTATTTATATATTTATTTTTTATATATTTTAAAAAATTAATAGACCCCACATATCTGTATCTCCTCACCATAAACCTCAAACCACATTTGAGAAATTTAATTCGGATGATCTCTACTGTTTATTTTTGTTGAGCGTTTGGTCCCTGTCTTACCTAAAAAGACTATTGTGCCCTTAGTAATTTATTTTTTAATTAATTTTCTTATTTATGTATTTATTTTTTATATATTTAAAAAAATTAATAGACCTCACCTATCTGTAAAAAATATGTGGGGTCTATTAATTTTTTTAATTTTTATATGTGGGGTCTATTAATTTTTTTAAATATGTAAAAAAATAAATACATAAATAAGAAAATTAATTAAAAAATAAATTAATAAGGGCACAATAGTCTTTTTAGGTAAGACAGGGACCAAACGCGCAACAAAAATAAACAGTAGGGACCGTCCAAGTTAAAAAAATAAGTTAGGGACCAAAAACACAGATTCCCCCAAACCACATGGACCATTTGTGTAATTTACTTTTACTTTTCGTTTTGTTCATATTTGGGTAACTATTTTTTTTGTACACATCTAGGTAACGAACTTGTTGAAAGCGTTCACATCTAGGATTTAACATGCTATAGCAAGTCATAATGGTCATATGTGAACACTTCTAACAAATTTGTTACCTATATGTACAAAAAAAAAGATAGTTACCCATATGTGAACATACCGAAAAGTTAATTACCTTAATAAGTCATTTTCCCTTGATATTATAAGACCTTATATTTTCAAAAACATATACTTTTTGTATTTAAAAAAAACCCTCACATTTTTCCAAATTTTGATTTGGCATTTTTAGCAGGTTTACGAGTAATCTTCCGGGGTTTATATATATATATATATATATATATATATATATATATATATATATAAACTCATACTTTCCCGTGAATCTGAGAACTAAAGGTGAAACGTTAGATCAAAATTAACTTATTAAAGACATTATCGTCATCTTACCAATCTCATTTAATGTTTAATTTTTGTGTTATTGGAAATATTAATAAAAATGTCTAAATATTAGCATAAAAAATCAAATTTTCAGATTTTTTTTAAATAATAAATTTTTGATTTTAAAAAAAATGCATTATTTTTAAATTTTTTTAGAAAACATGAATTTTTAAAAAAATATTAAAAACAATATATATATTTTTAAAAAATGCATATTTCTATACTATAATATTCATAAGTAAATAATAAAAAAAACTAATTTTTATTTACTAATATATAAATACAATAGTGCAAGTATTTTATTTGTTCCATATTTATCACTTTTCACATCTTCAATATTTTCCACAAATTCTTCCAAATATACAAGAAATTAAAAAAATTGATTAATAAAATAACACTTACAAAAATGCATATATATATATATATATATATATATATATATATATATATATATCACGTACGATTCACATGTGATTGTATCTTTTAAGATTCAAATGTGAAATTCACAAAAAAGAATTTAAAAAAGAATTAACGAAAAACACTCACACAAAATGCATGTGTGCATATAGACGTAATTCATATGTGATTCACTTGTGATTTACATGTGAATCACATGTAATTCATGTGATTCACTTGTGATTTACATGTGAATCACATGTGATTCGTATGTGAATTACATGTAATTACATGTGAATCGCATGTGATTTGTATGTGAATTACATGTGAATCGCAAGTAATTTATATGTGATTCGTGTATGATTTACATGTGAATCAAACGTGATTCATGCGTGAATGTGAGTCACATGTAATTTATATGCGATTCACGTGCGAATTTACATGTGAATTACATGTAATTCTGTAACATCCCAAATTTCAAGACCAAAAATTTCGTTTTTACTTGAGTAATTTATAAAACAGTTTACTGAAAACATTATCAATATCATATCAACCCATAAACCCATAAGTCAAATGTCATAAAACATGTCATGGAATAAAAATGTCAGAGTACAATCCCAAGAACATCATGGTGAGGAAATAATGGTGTGATGCGCTGCTACTGAGTCGGCTCCTTTCCCTTCGAAGAAGAAGGACGTGAAACAAAAACTGTAAACCGTAAGCACAAAGCTTAGTGATTTCCCTCATCATACCTCATACCAAACTATAAACATATTGTCAAGCATATATGGGTGCCCGACCTACCCTGCTGAGCATACCAGGGTGCTCAACCTACCCCTGCTAGGCATACCGGGGTGCCTAACCTACCCCATGTCAGGCATATATGGGTGCCCGGCCTACCCTCCGGTGTATCTCAACCGGTTACGGGGACTATTTCTCCCCTACCACTACCACATAACAACATAATATAAACATACTGTCAGGCATACCGGGGTGCCCGACCTACCCCTTTGGTCCTTTCGACATGGTACGAGGACTATTCCCCCTACTACCACTATCACATAAAATCATACCATGCTAGCACATAAAACATAACAGATAGTGGCATACCAGACAATTATCACAAAGACAATCATCTAACAAACAACACCTACTAGTGGGCCGACATTGTGGCCTTAGACCCACTTCTACAGGAAGGTAACTCACCTCAATGTCGTGCAGTAACTGAACTGTCCTCGGTGCTGGGATCAACTCTCCTCAAACTCCTACACATAACCGTCTCCTTTAGTTACTCATTCAAATTCATATCCCCTTTAAGGGTCAATCTTGGGTAATGGTCAAAGTCAAAGTCAACGCCCTGGTCAAAGTCAACGTCCTGGTTGACTCAACTCGCCGAGTTGGTCCATCAACTCGTCGAGTTCCATAATTCAGAGAATCTCAAATTTGCGATCTGACTCGTCGAGTTACCCTCTAACTCGTCGAGTTTCTCCTTATGACAGAATCGGCACTTTCCATTTGAACTCGTTGAGTCCTTCCTTGGACTCGTCGAGTTCTCCTTCATACAGTCGGGACATTTGCTCACTGACTCGGCGAGTTCATCCTTGGACTCGTCTAGTTATTGACCTTTAAGTCCAAAACACCTATAACTGGCTGAGTCATCTTCTAGACTTAACAAGTTGCTAAGTAACAAAGAAGGTTGGGAGAACCACGACCCGACTCGTCGAGTCCTAAGAACGACTCGTCGAGTCCCCCATGCTCCAAAACTATACAATCGATTTCAGTATGGCTTAACGCATCCAAAACATAGATTTGGCCTACTAGGGTAGATATAACACGTAAAGTTTCTAACTTTATGTAAAAACCGGTAAAATTCTGTCAGAATTCGACGATCAAACCCCCGTGAGCCGTTATGCAATAAAGACCAATGGCACGTAAATTGGGGTCTATT